AAATTTACTGTGTTGAATGACTCAGTTGGAGGTAAATTTGGCCAAGCCCCAACTGTAACATCAGTAAGAGTGTAGAGCACAGCAGAGGAGATAAATAGAGTAGTCACCTCTCTGTTTCCTGAGAAGGAGCGGACTGCAGGAAGACCCTCCCCCGGCTGCAAAAGGCAGGAAACATGAAGTAGGAACAGGAGGTGAGGAAGAGAAAAGCAGCAGAGGCTCCAAAAGATTCATTGGCAATAGAAACCATTATTTACTGATGACAGGGAATGAGTTAGCAAGCAAAGAAAAAGGCAGCCAACACAGAGCAAAGGAGAAACTAGAGAAGAGCACCAACACAGTTCGATCACCTAATGTCCTGGCAAACTCAGTCTGTATGGGTTAATGAATTAAAAGTTGCACATACATTTGTATCCCAACTGCCAGGTGACAAAGTAAAACACTGTAGGGTCACACTACATTGTACAAGAAGGATAATAAGCTTTTATCAACGCAGTCGAGACTGAAAGATGGGTTTACCAATGATTTCAAGTATGCTGCCGGAGCGTGCACGGCTCTCTGTGTCCTGGCGAAACACGGTGGCATGTGGAATGCTGCCTGCGGTGATAAGCATGTGCAGAAGCTCTGGCGGGGGAGTCCTGAACACCTGCTGCAGGAGCTCCAGGGCTGCTGTGACTACATTATGATCCCAGTGCTGTGTGTAGTGTAGGTTCAGCTCGTACACCTTGAGACACACAAAGAAGTGAGCCAAAGCTTTGTAATAACTTTGATATCCAATCAGTCAGCACTTTTCTCTCTACCTGTAGCAGCTGTTCAGGTGTTGGCTGTACATCAGCTTCCTTCCTCATGACTCCAAAACTTCCTTTGAGGCTGGTGGTGTTGACCTGTTGCTGCAGCAGAGGCATCATGTAGCGGAGGGTCAACAGCATCCCCAGAATCAGATGGCTTGGGTGCTCCTCATCCACTGGAACCAGCAGACCTGGAGGCAGCAAGGATGGAAGGTCAGGATTCATGTTTCCCAGGCCTATGTGAATGTCACTAGCTTCTGTACTGTAGCTAAAAACAGCAGCACGTTATTTGGAATAAAAAAAACGTAACTTTTATGTAGTAAGTTAGGGAAGTGTGTCTACAATATATTTTTTATCTTTAATACTATATTTGCAGCCTCCAAAATGAGTTCATATTTCCTATTTGTGTGTAAACATGCACAGTATGTATTTAAGCGTCAATGAAAGCGAATGTCCATTAAAACTGGTGTGCAACTGTGGAACTTTATGTGTCCTACCTAGCAGCACATTAAGAAGCCAGGTGTAAAAGTAGCTGGCACGCCTGGAGTGTTGGCACACGCTGACAGCCGAGCTGGCTGCTGTCCGTCTGATGGTCGGGGAGGTGGACTTCAGATTGGCCACAAATGACTTCAGCAGCACCTGGGACAATAGTTGGTTGGACTATAGTGAAAACAGTGGTCACCAACTGGTGAACTTCCAGTCCAGATCTGGACCTCAAGAGGTTTCTATCTGGACCAGAAAGTGTTTCTTATTTCCATAGCATGCTTTTCTATGTACATTTCTGAAGATAAGAAGCCTTAGAAGGGGGATTTAACTTCAACTAATATAAAAATGTCTTTCAAATAATGTTAAGCTTATGTTTTGGTTGGCTGGAGCACAGAGGAAACCCACCCCCACCACCACTACCAAATTACTCAAAAATTTGGAAATTATTTGTAAAACAGTTATCTGATTCCAAAACTTAATTTCCACACCACACTATTTCCAGGGTTCCTGCTTTGTGCAGATACCTTGATCTCGCCATCATTGGCGAAGTGTCCCAAAGCTGCCATAATCTTGGGCATCGCTACAGCCAAAGTCTCCTGCACCATCTCCTCCTGCCGCTTTGTGATTCTGGTGAGGCATGGCAACAGGTTGACCAGGTAGGGTCTGCACCACAAGGAGGACATGGAGGGAGGGATAATTATGAAACAGTATAGAGCAGCAAACAGAAGAACTCGAAGGAGAAAAGAGAACTTGAAGCATAGTTAGACTGCAAAGCAGTTACTCCATACACAGAAAACTGAACCAGGCAATAATGATAATACTGGTTTAAAACACTGACAAAACTGTTGGTTGGTGGCAATCGTATTTAAAATGACTTGACAATTTTACAACTTCCCACGAGCAATAAAATAATTAAAATGTGGTTGTCATCTGAATAAAGTAATAGCTGGCATTCAAGTCCATACCTGCATTTCTGTGGTCTGATGAGGTGGGCGAGCTCAGCAAACCTCCACAGAGCAGCCCTCAGACTCCGAGAGGCACCATTCTACAGAGACACAACCATTCACATCACCACAACCACTATTATCGCCACTTCTACTATTACAATAAATATTTAAAAAAAGAAGAAAGCACACAGAGCATATTTCAGTTGTTACATTAGATAAAACAAATATCAAACATGGCTGATAACTCTGAGCATAACAGTGCAAAATGGCTCATTACCTTTCTAATTTCTTTGTACAGTTCCAGCTGGAGTCTAGGCAGGTTGGAGTCCATCAGTGCCTGAAGATAAAAACTTACAAATGTTAATGCTGAGAAACATACAATACCAGCCAAAGGTTTGGATGCACTTTCTCATTCAGTTCAATGAGAAAGTGCATCCAAATCAATGGACATCATTCTGTAAGTGTACCATGTCCTTCCTCAGTTGGGGCTGCATGACTTCCAGTTTTTTTTTAGAGTCGTCACTTCTGTAATGAAAGTCATGTCGATGTCAACTACTCACTGATGATGTCATCAAAACAAAAACACAGGTTGATCAACAAGGACAGAGCACACCGCTAATAGCAGCTCAAGCAGGACAATGGACAAATTCCATCTGATGAGCCAGTCACTTTAGAGTTTATTGGCTTTTATGCCCAGCTGTTCATATGATGGATTACTTGTCGTGCTGCATTGACAGTCTGGGCAACGTCAAGTAGGGTCATTGGTCATTATAACCACACAGTCAGTAACGAGTCGACGTTATGCTGAAAACGTCATCTCTGCTTGGAAAAGTCAGCTAATCTGTGCAACCCCTAGTCCTCATGAGATGCCAACCATAAATTAACGTATGGCCAATTTACTGTGCTATTATTATAAAGGTGACTATTGAAGAGGGCCTGACTGAAGGTTTGAAGGTTCCTGCTCACTTTTATGATTTTGTTGAGGCACTCGTCGGCTACCATCCGTACATCTGATTCATTGTCGTCACTACAGAGCAGAAACATCTCCATGGCGATGCCCAGCAGTTTCTGAAACTCTGGAGAAGTTCTGCTTCCAGGACCATAAAGAAGAAAAGTCAGAAAAATGTCATTACACGCATGCATTTTTAGCTTTCAATAGTAATTGTTTATGTCAATACCATGATTCTGAATTTAAATAAAAATAACAATCTTCCATGCAGCTATATTTCCCTCTCTTACAGAATCCAAATCAGCTTTATTGCCCAGGTGACACATGAGGAATTTCGCTCTGGTACATAATGTCACACATACATACAGAGTAGTCCTGGGGTGGCTAGGTAGGTTATCACATTTAATGCAATGGAATGAGTGGTTAAATTGAAAAACACTGATGATTATGGTCATAACTAGTTTTGAACTGCACAAAGATTAGCATCCCTGGTGTGAGTGAAGCAGCTGTAGTGCCTAAAAAAAAAACTGATACACAGGCTTCAACGGGTACCAACTTCATTCTCACAAATAATACCTAATAAAACTACAAGCAAAGCAACAGCTAAGTGTTCTTTATGGGGATTACCACAGAAGAAAGCTATCACTGAACAGACTGACTCAGTTAGAGGCATTCAGAGAGTCGTTAGAGAGATACAACTTCCTTCCATGTATTCAGATAGCCCACACTCCTGTGACACTGTTTAGCAGCAAAGACCAGTATACACTCCAAAATAACATTATAAAAAAACCTGTATTTAAAGCTTTGACAGTTTTTATGGCCTAAAGTGGAGTTAAAACATCATTAAGCCTTTGGGAACTCTTAACGATCCTTCATTTTCTTCAGCTGTGATGCATATATAAACCCCTGATAAAGTATAGATTTAGGACAGCAGTAATATGACTGAAGTCTGGAAAGTGGTGCCTACTATTCAGCCCTGACCATAGGGCCATATTGATGTTAATGCTAACAAAACTTAAAGTTGTGGTAAATAAGTTTACTTTTTATGTTATGAAACTGCTTTGAGTGCACAAAAATGGCAAGGAATTGAAAAATAAAACTAATGATCTATATCAAAATGTGTGATATATATACACACATATAAATATATATACATATAT